TTTTAAATCCAAGCTACTGTGACACCAGATGTAATTGGTGGCACTGACTGGGGAAATGGGCACTGTGAGCCTGACACAGAAGCTGGCAGCAGTGGCAGACAACTAAGTGCATTTACATTACATAGAAAAAATAAATAAAAAAAAAGCATACCCTTATCCTAACCTAGCTATGCTTTTCCCTATCTTATGAACAGCAGCTACACTTTCCCTCCTCTTACTAAGCATGCAGCTTGAGAATGAATCTAAAATGGATGCTGTCCAGTAGGTGGGAGGGTCTGCTAGGGAGGCTGTGCTGCTAATTGGCTGGAATGTGTCTGCTGACTGTGAGGTACAGGGTCAAAGTTTACTCAATGATGACGAATAGGGGGCGGGTCGAACCGCGCATATGTTCGCACGCCGTGGCGAACGCGAACATGCTATGTTCGCCAGGAACCGTTCGCCGGCGAACCGTTCGGTACATCACTACACACAAATTCAAATAATACAGGATGTCAATTTTCCTAAGACAAGATTTGTAAGAAAATTGCAATTCACAGCTGGTAATTCAGATATATGGATAGGCTATTTCATACATAATTTCTTACTTTTTCCAATTAGGCATGCAAGTAACAGGTCTAAGCATACTCATTGACCTAGAGAGGAGGAGGGATTTAGAAATGTAGCACATACATTTTTTGTCCCTTTTCTCACTCGGGAAACATGAATTATACATGGTTTCCAAGGAGATGAGACATCTTTTCACAAAGTCTGATTCTGAAAAACACAGAAAAGCAGCAGAATAGAACAATAAATTGCTTTATATACTTACTTAACATTTAAACAAAAATGAATGCTGTACCAAAAAGAGTGGGTATATTGTATAGCAAACAGTGTTTGCCTTAAATGTAGGACACATTATGTGGAAGTGAATCCAAGTAAAAAAAAAATCATTTTATTATTTAACATTTGTACTAAAAAAATATATGACGTGAATAATGTAATACATACAATAGATGCCTTTTTTATTTTTATTTAGAAAAGTAGCATTGCTGGTAAGGCCAAACACAATAAATCAATTTTAAGAATTTGTGTGCAAAACCAAAAAAAAAAACCAAAGCTGGTTATGAAAAGCTCAATGTGGAAAATTTACAGACTGAATTGCTACCATGACTTTAATTAAATTATGAGCTAATGGGCTAATATTGACGCAACCCCAGCACCTGAATAAAATATCAGCTTTAAAGTAAAATGTATTAGCAGCTTCCCCCAAATTCTCGGAGGTAATTTTTCCACTAACGTTAAATCAATCAGGGATGATTGAATACAAAATGTGTAATCTCATTTTATAAATTAAGTTGGAGAGAAAACCACAGAGAGCTTTGAACATCTGACTCCTCCTCTGTCCTCCTAGTATTTTGTGGGGAGAGCTATTTCTATGGTCAACATTTTTTATTTATTTGAAATTTACAGTTGACAACGACATAAGACATTGTAGTAAGAAGAAATATACATCAGTAGGAATCATCTCAAATGGACTCAATAGTAACAGTATTGTCATAAAAAGCCATAGATTAGAACAGTTAACCTTACGAGTCCAGTAATGAAGCATGAGGGTACCATGTTAACAGGTAGTAATATTCAAAATTAAAGCCACTATTCACGAGGGAGTTAAGAATGATCAGCATAAATGTAAAATGGTGAGTGAGTTAGGAACAGTGAACTCTGGTCTTAGCTTTGGTCACTAATGGAGATTTAGTAAGGTTTGATGTAGATACCAATTAGTGTGTTGGAATGTTGGATTTTGTGTTTCAGTGTGTCAAGATTTGGAAAAATGTATTGATCCATTTTTCTTTCTATTATAGGTATCTAACCAGTCCATACAAAAAGCATGGTAAAGCTTGGATTGAAATATGCCAAGGCACAGGAGGTCAGTATCAAATTTAGTAAAATGGATTTCCTTGCCACAGTGGCTCTAATTTAGAAATTCTGGGTGGAGAGTTCAGGAGAGATCTATTTCACTGTCCGTGAATGAAATACCTTCCATTCTCAATGCATTCAACCCAAGTTTGGTTTGACAAAAGTGGGCAAAAAAAAATAAAAGTGGGCAAAAAAAATAAAAAAAATAACTTATAAATATAAAGATTGTATATGGTTACCAAATATATTATACGGTTTACTCCTCTCTATGTATGAACTATTCCCATGTTGATTTGTGGCTAATAGATAAACATACTCTGCCAAAGATAAAGTCAAATGTTGAATGGTGATTTTTGAAATGCCGTATTTAATCTCCAGCAAGGCGTCTGAAATGGATGCCCAGTGTATGATAGTTCAAAGTCTTAAAATCTCACTGTGGTTGCTACTAACAAGGTAGCCTAGAAGCTGTGCACTGCGCTTATAATGGAAAGATGGTTCAATTTCAGCATAAGGAGGATTTCTTATTTTTTACTGTTTCTGTGCAACTCAGATTCAGCAGTTATGATTCAAATCTCTGGTTTGTGATGTTCTTTTTCTGTTCGTTCTCATGTTTTCTTTATGCTTCCATCAGTTTATTGTATTTATCAAATGTATATTATGAATTATTAATATTTTTAGTGAATATCTATGTTGAAACTTCAACAAAGTACCCTAATTTTCAGTTTCAGTTGAGTAACCATGTACGAGTGAATAGGTTTTCTGGTACATGCGAAATAATATAATTACTGCATGTAATATCATTTAAAAATGGTAAAAAATCGGGGGGCGTGGCCGGATCTCGAGTCGGATGGACAGATTATTGCGGCGAAGCTCCAAACCTCGAGGCTCTTAAATGGCTAAGTACAAGGCAAGCAGGCAAATTTTAACCCTCACAGCGATTAGACAACTCTGAGCACAGAAAAATCCTGAATCCCGGGACAATTTCCCCTTCTTTGTATCGAGAGCGCAAACAGCAAAACCCCCTCATTCGCCAACCCACGATGGCAGCGAGGACGATTAGGGTGAAGGCCTAACACAACCTGAACCAGCTCCACTCACGAAAGACGTCTTACAAACACTGCTACACGCCATGGACCTCCACTATCTGGGCTCTAAAACATCACACACAGAGCACAAGATGGAGGACTTCACAACAGCGCACAACGATCTCACCAACCATGTAGAGCAACTTCGGCATCAACTAGCACGCTATGAAACTAAGATAATGGATCTGGAGGATAGGTCCCGACGGTGCTACACATGCTTAAGAGGGATCTTTGAGGATGTGATAAACCAAGGCCTGGCTGCCTATCTAACAGGTTTATTCAACACATTGTTCCCTGAACTGCCAGTAGCAATGCTCCTGATGGACAGAGCACACCGCATGGTGCCACCGCAACTTCTGCCACCCAGCACTGCCAGGGATGTGTTTGGTGAAAATGCATTATTTCCATTTAAAGGAAGACATACTGAAATCACACCGACTATGCAAGAATCTACCGGACAAATTCAAAGACATTCAGCTATACGCGGATTTATCTGCAGAGACCCTGAGATGACGCAGACACTTCCAGGAGGTCACGGAGACTCTAAGAAAACAACAAATATCATATAGATGGGGATTCCCCACTAAACTCCTTATTATGAGAGAGGGCAAAGCGGTTCCAGCAGCATCGGCTGAAGAGGGTCTTCATCTGCTCCGACAATGGGGATATCACATGAATTCAAACCCGAAATCTCCTAAGAGACCCTATACTCTTCAGCCGGAATGGAGGATGACTGGTAGAAGGTCCTTATCAATGATGGCTCATCGCGCCAACACGCCAGTGGACACATGAGTATTAGCCTCATGCTAGTGGCACACAGGCTACGAGTTATAGATGCGGGGGAAACCCTAAGTTTGATGTTTAATTTTCAGTACAGTAAACACTAGTGTTTATGAAGGTGCTAACTGAAGAGACGACAGACCATAGTCCCCTAGTGCATACCTATGTGAGTACGGGTTAGAAACATATCTAATAGGTCTTATCGTTCTCCACCCTAAGTAATGTATCAGGGAATGATTAGAGGTAGGGTAGGGGAATTACCCCCCCACCCCCAATATATATGTGGAGACCCCCAAGTAATTACCTGACTTCGCCCACAACGAAAGCACAGTGTGATAAAGGGGGGACCATATGGGTCCCAGGGAGGATGGTGCACTGGCATCTTACGCAAATGGTACACGGTGCTGTATTGTGCTGCCACGACTATACCACTGTAGCACTATGCCAGGTTCAGCATATTTTGAGCTGTATTAGTGGTGATATGAAACTTGACAACACCCTCAATCCACCCTACATAACCCACACTACGAACAATGCACCAGCGAAAGACAGGACGTATGCCTTTAATAGGTATTGTGCTGGAAACTGCCTATTTACAATTTGCAATGCATGTACACCCCGAAGTATCCTGGTAGCCGAGTGCCCTCACCTGCTTTTAAGTAACTTGTAGTCAAGAGCCAAGAAGGCAAAGCGAATCAGTCTAGACCGCTGTTAGCCCGTTGGGCTCGACCCATCCTGTGTGTGTACCCAGTGGTGTATCCTGGTTTTGTGCTGCCCTAGGCAGGACAAAACTCAGGCGCCCCCCTCCAGCCGCGCCACCCCCACCCAACCCTTCCCCCCGCCCACCTTCTAAATACACATCCACACACAGTCAGACACACACAGTCAGACACATACACAGACACAAACACAGTCAGACACAAACACACACACAGTCAGACACAAACACACACACACAGTCAGACACACACACAGTCAGACACAAACACACACACACATACACAGTCAGACACACACACACACACTCACAAACACACACACACAGTCAGACACACACACACAGACACAACAGACCCAACAGTCAGACACACAGTCAGACAGTCAGACACAAACACACACAGCCCAGACACACACACCACACACAAACAGTCAGACACAAATCAGACACACACACAGTCAGACACAAACACAAACACACACACACACAAAACACACCCACAAACACAATCAGACAACACACAAACACACACACACAGACAAACACACAACACACAGAAACACACAGACAATCAGACACAAACACACAAACACACATACCAGTCAGACACACACACACACACACACACACAAACACAGTCAGACACAAATCAGACACACACACACCCACACACAGTCCAGTCAGACACACACACACACAAACAGACACAGTCAGACACAAACACACACACATACACAGTCAGACACACACACACACACTCACAAACACAGTCAGACACAAACACACACACACACAGTCAGACACAAACACACACACACAAACACACAGACAAACACACACACACACAGTCAGACACATACACAGACACAAACACACACACAGTCAGACACAAACACACACACACATACACAATCAGACACAAACACACACACAGAGTCAGGCACAAACACACACATTAACTTTTTTTTATTTAAATCCCCCCCAACCTCCTTACCTTTGGGAGTGCTGGGGGGGGTCTCTCTCCCTGGTGGTCCAGTGGCTGCAGGTCGGGCGGGCGGCGCTGGCAGGCGGGCGGCCGGCGGGCCCGCCGGCTGCAGAGTGAGGCTGGGAGCCCTCACCTGCTTTTAAGTAACTTGTAGTCAAGAGCCAAGAAGGCAAAGCGAATCAGTCTAGACCGCTGTTAGCCCGTTGGGCTCGACCCATCCTGTGTGTGTACCCAGTGGTGTATCCTGGTTTTGTGCTGCCCTAGGCAGGACAAAACTCAGGCGCCCCCCTCCAGCCGCGCCACCCCCACCCAACCCTTCCCCCCGCCCACCTTCTAAATACACATCCACACACAGTCAGACACACACAGTCAGACACATACACAGACACAAACACAGTCAGACACAAACACACACACAGTCAGACACAAACACACACACACAGTCAGACACACACACAGTCAGACACAAACACACACACACATACACAGTCAGACACACACACACACACTCACAGTCAGACACACAGTCAGACACAAACAACACACACACACACGACACAAACACACAGTCCAGACACACAGTCAGACACACAGTCAGACACACACAGTCCAGACACACAGTCAGACACAAACACACACACACACAGTCAGACACACACACACACACACACAAACACAGTCGACACAAACACACAGTCAGACACACACACACACAGTCAGACACAAACATACACAAACACAGTCAGACACAAACACACACATCAGACACACACACAAACAGTCAGACACACAGACACACAACACAAACACACAAATCAGACACACACACAAACACCAGACAAACACACAACAGACACAAAACGCCCAGACACAAACACACACACACACACAAACACACACACGTCAGACACAACACACACACACACACAGTCAGACACACCACACACACACACAACACAAACACACAAAACACACACACATACACAGTCAGACACACACACACACACTCACAAACACAGTCAGACACAAACACACACACACACAGTCAGACACAAACACACACACACAAACACACAGACAAACACACACACACACAGTCAGACACATACACAGACACAAACACACACACAGTCAGACACAAACACACACACACATACACAATCAGACACAAACACACACACAGAGTCAGGCACAAACACACACATTAACTTTTTTTTTTATTTAAATCCCCCCCAACCTCCTTACCTTTGGGAGTGCTGGGGGGGGTCTCTCTCCCTGGTGGTCCAGTGGCTGCAGGTCGGGCGGGCGGCGCTGGCAGGCGGGCGGCCGGTGGGCGCGCCGGCTGCAGAGTGAGGCTGGGAGCCGGAAGATGACGTCATCTTCCGGCTCCCAGTCTCACTCTGCGGCGCGCGAGGGAGCTGAGCAGTCAGCTCAGGGGAAGAGCTCCCTCGCCGGCCGCCCGCCTGCCAGTGCCGCCCGCCCGCTCGGGATGTCAGTTAGCCGCAAGGCTAACTAGGCATTTGCCCTGGGCATTTGGGGGCCGCCCCCTGAAAAATGCCGCCCAAGGCAAATGCCTTGTTTGCCTCGCGGCTAATACGCCCCTGTGTGTACCCCCAAATTTGGTCGGGTACCATTGTAAACTTTCAACAAAAGTATGTTCAAATGTTTTATCTGTTTATTATGTTCTATCACTATATATACCTTGTTTTTTGCCTGTCCAGCCTGTATTCTATGACTTAGAATCCACAATACACCCACCAGACCATACTATATAGCCAGCACTGCACCGAGCTCATATCAAGAGCCAGATAATCTTGAATGCCCTATCCCATTACAATACCGTAAGACCGTACCAGAATATGTATAACACCTGATGCACCACAACATATCACCATAACGTACGGGGCTTGAAAACCCCATTTAAATGTCAGGTATTACTAAAAGATCTTAAGAAAATACAAGCAGACATTATATGCTTACAGGAAACCCATTTTAAGAAATGGACGAATCCAAAGGTGGGCCTCTCTGCATTCCCTCACCAATTCCATGCCACCTCCATGTCAAAAAGCAAAGGCATCTCTATATTCCTCAGCGGCTATCTGGTCGTCAATCTTATTACCCAAATCACGGACCCACACGGCAGATTTCTGCTACTTAAGTGTTCCATTAATAACTTGATCTACACAAAAGCTAATGTATATCTCCCGAGCACAAATCAGAGAAATTTCTTACACAGTGTATTGATAAAATTGGACCAGCTTAAAATGGGTACCACTATAATCTGTGGCGACTTTAACCACATATATACGATCCGAAGTTAGACTCCACTATATCACGCACCTCTCCCAGATACAAACAACTGCTAACTCAGTGTAAGGCACTCACTAAACTGATCATATCTAACCTGTTATATGATGAATGGCGCACCCTACACCCCATTGAGAGGGAATACACCCACCACTACGCAGTTCATAACTCATATTCCAGGATTGGTGGGTACCTAGTTAACTCCTCACATGTACATCAGGTCCAGAAATGCAAAATTATTCCCATGACATGGTCCTGTCACGATTACATTATTTGACCAATACCCGTATAAAGCATAAAAGCCCATGGCACCTAAACTAAAGTTTACTGGTAGACGAGCCTTACCTAGACCTAGAGGAATTGATTAAGTTCTTCAATACAAATGACACTCCAGACATTCAAGTGGACACACTTTGGCAGGCACACAAGATTTTCATTCGGGCTCTCTTATAAAACAAGTCTCCTTCCTGAAGAAAAAGCATGATACCATCACTATGAAATACTCTATGAACCTGCAGGACCTCCATAGACAAAACCAACTGACCCCTCCCCAGAATTAGCAACACAGATACAAACTCTACAGTCATGGCTGAATGATAGTAATATAGAGAGGGTCGGTTACACTCTTAAAAGGCTAAAGGTAACGTCATACAATATTGGTAACAAAGCTAGCAAATTAATGGCATGACAAATAAGAGATAGTTCAAAGTAGAATCCTACATGTTTTCGATAACACAGGCCGCAAGGTTATAATCCCAACGGAGATCAGTAATGTATTCACGGACTATTATAGCTCGCTTTATAACTTTAAAGACCAAACAGGGACTTCACCTCCTAAAACAGAAGCCATACTACAATATCTGAGAAAACTACCCATACTCTCCTTGACAGCTGAACACATTGCTTCTTTATCCGCACCTATCACTGAGGAAGAAGTCAAGGAATGTATCAGGGGCCTACCAAAAGGGAAGGCACCAGGGCCATACGGGTACACAAATTTGTACTATGCAACGTTTCGGCACATACTGGCTCCATACATAACACGGCTCTTCAATGCAGCACTGAGTTCTTGTCAGCCCACGTCATAACATTGCCCAAACCAAGTAAACTCCCCACCCATTGCAAAAACTTTCAGTCAATTTCTCTACTTAATGCAGATGCTAAGTCCATGCAGAAAGACTGTATTTGATAATCCCACATCTGGTCCTGGACATTGTCCAAGGCCGTCAGGGGTTGGACAATGCTAGGAAGGTGCTCGACATATTACACATCATGCAGGACATAGAAGGAAGGGGTCTTGTGCTCTCCCTCAATGCCGAAAAGGCATTTGATCGTCTAAACTGGCGATTTCTGGAGGAGAACTTGAAAAGATTTCACGTTCCAGATGATTTATGGCTGCAGTTTGAGCTCTATATAGTACAACGTCAGCAAAAGTACTAAACACGGGGTTTGTGTCGGACCCATTTCAAATCACCAATGGGACCAGGCAAGGGCCCCCCTTGTCAACGCTTCTTTCTGTGCTTGCCTTGGAACCATTGGCGATAGCGGTGAGACAGAATACCAATATACATGGAGTCCATGTTAGGGACAGGAAATATAAGTTACATTTGTTCGCAGACGACATAATGTTGATCCTGACGCAACCAATTGTCTCCCTACCTAACTTACAAGTAGAACACCAGACGTATGGCACACTGTCCTACTACAAATTGAACATCTCAAAAAACCAAGCGTTGGGAGTTAACACTCCTAAACGGCTCTTTGACTGACTAAAGGTGGCTTTTACCTAGGATTGGAGGACAGATGTCCTTACATTCTTGGGCATTAAAATCCCTAGCAACCCCCAAGCTCTATTTAAATTTAACTTCCAAACGCTTTATAAGAAAATCGACCAAACCTTGAAGAGTTGGGAGGAGAAATATCTCTTGTGGGTGGGTAGGTGTGCAGCCATAAAAAAATTACAATCCTACCCCAAATATTATACTTATTCTGGTCAATACACATACAAATCCCAATGCAATTCCTGATGCCAACACAGTTCCAGCAAACTCCATGGGTTCAACACCACAATGGTGCCAGATAGAATCCCAAAAGATGCAACAACCTACTTTGGCCTATAGCATATGGTTACCAAAACAGTACAGAACCATACCTCAAAAAACCCTGCCTCCTTCTAAATGTTGTTATCGATCTGGGAAAAGACTAAAGGCAAACTATGCAGCTCTCAACTTTGGTCACTCGCCACTCTGCTCACTTCCATACACAGACACAATCCAACCTTTAATTATAACACATGGACACAGTGTGGTATACACTACCTATATCAATTCTATTCAGACTCAGCCATGATGTCCCTCTCAAAGCTGCAGTCTCAATACACCATAACCAAGAATATAATACTCTCGTACATGCAACTTAAGAGTATGATTTCCCTGAACACACCCATAGAAACTGGAGGCACTATGAGCATGGGCATGACCCCTTTTGAAAAAAATGTGTATGTGACAACTTGCACAGAGAAAAGTTCTATCTCTATGTTATGTGCATATCAACACACTAAGTGAGGACACAACATGGGCATTCCAAAAAGTCTAGGAAAAAGATCTTGGGGGGGGGGGGCGGTGACAGCAGCACAATGACAGTCAGCATATACAACACATAAGGGACTTTCTTCTTGTGCAACACATCTAGAAATAACGAGGATGCTGTTATACCTGTGGAGTTATACCTTGCCCCACATAGGTTGGCAACCTTATATCCCAATGTGAGTAATGTATGTTGGAGATGCAATTCAGACGTAGGCACTATGCTACATATATGGTGGACTGCCCCAAATTACAAAACTATTGGCAGGATGTAGGTGACATGATTACCCAATACACACATGATCAGATGCCACTAGATCCTGCACATTCCTACTGTATATCTTCCCCAAGGGTCTGCCAAAAGTTGTTGCTAAGATCATGTATCTTATACTCACCGCTGCTGCGCTATTACTGGCTAGGAAATGGAAAACAGTCACCGTACCAATGATGACAGAGCTTAAACAACAAATCTCTACAAAGGTATCCTATGAATTAATGGCATTCACTCAAATGCAAAAAGGTGTAGCAACAAAAGAAATGGCAGAACTGTGGCGGCATTACAATTCAGAAAATGCTAAATGAACAATTGTAGGTCTGGAACAGGCCAGGACAGTATTTTCTCTCTCCTCCTTCGAACCTTTTCACCTATGGTGTCCATGTCTTTATATGCTATCTGTATTTCTTTACAAGCAATAACAATCAACTACGGAGATAGTACATGTTGTTAGTTCCAGATTGCAAGGGTCATTGATGTATAATTATCTTTAACCCCTTCTAACCATCCCCTTTCTTTTTTGCACCCAAAACACTTGAAAAGTAAATAAAAATTGTCAAATTGAAAAAAAAATTGTCAGACATCATAATAAAAAAAAAAAATGTATCTTATGCCCAAAACAACATAACACTGGTCAGCATAATAAAAATCAAAGCCCTTAATCACTAGGCTACAGGAAAACACAAAAGGAAGCAGACCTTGGTTGCACTACCAGCAATGTCTGCATCTTGTGATATTAAGTATATTATTCAATAAAATCTAGAAATGTCTGTCTTATGTTGGCACTGTGAATGTCTGATGAAAATGTATTCCAGATACCCTAGCAGTGAGTGCCTTTTAGACCTCGCTCTGTGTGTATCTGTTGAAGCATGCTGCTAAACTGTCCTGTATTCCTAGGTACAGTTCCATTATTAGGCATAAAGAAGTGAACTTGGTGGAATTAACCACTCTAAGTAAACCAAATGGAGTGCTAATATTTGAATTTACACACACCCCTTTTATTAAAGGGGAATTAATGAATGTTTCACTATTGGTTTTCTAAATAATTAAGTGCCTTTATTTGCACAGTGCACATTGTTTTTCTACAGTTCCATTATTAATTTGCCCTGTATCCTAGAGTCTTTTTTTTTTTTAAATTGGATTTTTCTGTACTGACAATTATAATCAGTTTCCTTCATACTAACTAATACACAATTATAGATTGAACCATTTCAGTGCCAGGATTGTGCCACTCACATTACTGTGCAATGAGCTGGTCATACCTCTGTCAATCAATGGTGTTAATCCAATGATTATATATATATATATATATATATATATATATATATATAAAATTTTATTTTGACAGCTATTTTATTATATCATATGAGTTCAACAGATCTGGAGGTGGAATTGGCACCCCACTATCTTAAAAATTCACTAGACAACACTGTGCAGAAGGATACTGTAGACTCTAGAACATAATTAGCAGAGCAGAAAATACAGAATTCTACATTTAACACATGGTGCAATAAAGCAGGGGCCATCTTTAACATGGGGCAAATGGGGCAGCTGCCCCGGGCCCAGTTACTCCTGGCGGCCCCGCACCCCTGATCTATTTATTCCCCCTACACCCCTATGGGCCTGCTGGTGGAGCCTGGGGACGCACACTAACGAGGCCCACCAGGTGACACTGACAGACATACCAACACACATATAAATACATTAACTGTCAGTGTCTGTGTGTCAGTATGTCTGACAGTATTTGTGTCTGTGTATCTGTGTGTGTTAATGTGAATATGTGCGTCTGCATGTGTGTGCATGTGTCAGTGGGCTTGTTTTAGCAGGGGCCCGGTTGGGTGCTGTGGCCCTTTAACAGCATGACTGAGTCCCTTGCTTTTCAGCAACAGCCTGGGAGGAAATGACTGCCGTGAGTAACTTCCTCCCACAGAGAGAGAGAGAAGCTGCATGGGAGGGAGGAGCAGGCAGTGAGGGGGGCTCCTCACTCCCATCAGCCTCAGGCACTAGACTGGACCCCAGGGAAGCCACCCTCCAGAAAAAGGTAGGAAACTGGAGGGTGGCTTTGAAATTTTTTTATTGTATATGTGTGTTTCAGTATGTCAGTGTGTCTGTGTGTGTGTGTGTGTGTGTTAGTATGTCTTAGTGTACTTATCTGTGTGTCAGTATGTCTGTCTGTGTGTGTGTCAGTATGTCTATCAGTTTATGTATCTGTGTGTGTCAGTATGCCTGTCAGTATGTCTTTTAGTGTACGTGTCAGTGTATGTGACAGTATGTCTGTCAGTGTATGTGACAGTATGTCTGTCACTATATGTGCCTGTGTGTGTCCGTTTATCTGTCAGTGTATGTGACAGTATGTCTGTCAGTATATGTGCCTGTGTGTGCCAACATGTCTGTCAGTAGATGTGTGTGTGTGTGTGTGTGTGTGTGTGTGTTTTTCAGTATGTGTGTGTCAATATGTCTATTAGTGTATGTATGTGTGTGTCAGTATGTCTGTGTTTGTGTTAGTATATATGTTAGTGTATGAATCTGTGTGTCAGTATGTCGGTGTGTGTCAGTTTGTCTTAGTGTATGTATCTGTGTGTGTCAGTATGTCTGTCTGTGTGTGTGTCAGTATGTTTATCAGTATATGTGCCTGTGTGTGACAGCATGTCTGTCAGTGGATGTGTCTGTGTGTGTCAGTATGTCTGTGTGTGTGTTTTTCAGTATGTGTGTGTGTGTCAATATGTCTATTAGTGTATGTATGTGTGTGTCAGTATATCTGTGTGTGTGTGTGTGTGTGTGTGTTAGTATGTCTGTTAGTGTACATATCTGTGTTTGTCAGCATGCCTGTCAGTATATGTGCCTGTGTGTGTCTGTATGTCTGTCAGTGTATGTGACAGTATGTCTGTCAGTATATGTGCCTGTGTGTGTCTGTATGTCTGTCAGTGTATGTGACAGTATGTCTGTCAGTATATGTGCCTGTGTGTGTCCGTATGTCTGTCAGTGTATGTAACAGTATGTCTGTCAGTATATGTATCTGTGTGTGCTAGTATGTCTGTCAGTGGATGTGCCTGTGTGTGTCAGTATGCCTGTCAGTTTATGTGTCTGTGTGTGGGTCAGTATGTCTGTCAGTGCATGTGTCTGTGTGTG